CAAACAAACAAACAAACAAAATTGCCCAAAACCACGCACGTACGCAGGGGATGTTTGGCCGAACCCCCTATTTTTGTTATGTAAAAAAATTATACTTATATAGTTATAGCGCAACTGCTTGTGGTGTTTAACGTTTTCTACATAGTCTACATTCTTCTGATGAAGCATTAGCATTTTTTGGCATGAAATAGTCGCATGCAATGGTTTTTCTTAACCCTTTGTAAAGGTCCGACATGGCCAGGTGGTTAGGGCGCTCTACTCACAATATGAGGGTCGCGGGTTCGAATCCCCCTCCCACCAAATATGTTCGCCCTTTAAGCCGTGGGGCGTTATAATGTGACGATCAATCCCACTATTTGTTGGTAAAAAGAGTAGCCCAAGAGTTGGCGGTGGGTGGTAATGACTAGCTCCCTTCCCTCTAGTCTTACGCTGCTAACTTAGGGACGGCTAGCGCAGATAGTCCTCGTGTAGCTTTGCGCGAAATTAAAAAACAAACAAACAAACCATTCGTAATTGGAAAGCCGAAGTCGTATTGCTATTGTCAGGTTTTGTAGGCCGGATTCTTTACAGTAGGTGTCTGTGACTTGTTGGCGATAAATTTCAAAAATAAACAAACAGCAAAACAGTCCACTTGTTTTAAAATGATATATTAAAACAAATTAAACGTATATACAAATGTTCGTTACACTGTTGGTTATCACAGTTGTTTGTTTTTGAATTTAACTACAAAGCTACCCAATGGACTATCTGTGCTCTGCCTACCACGGGTATCGAAACCCGGTTTCTAGCGTTGTAAATCCGCAGAATACCGCTGTGCCAATGGGAAAAATCACAGTTGTATCCAGAACTTTAAATTATTGTATCTTTTTCTTCAAAGTCCACACAGGCTGGTTCAGTGATTTTAGAACAGAATTGGCAAGACGAATTATTTTTCTCTGCTCAGTTATTACAATACAGTCTGTGAAAGATTCCTTTAAGAAAACAGTAACCATTCCTTTTCTTGACAACGTTATCACTAATATTTCCTTCATATTTGATGCACATGTAAAGCAAGCAGCATCAGTTCAGAAACTTATTGCATAAAAATTCGCACAAGAGTTTTACATCTCTGATATCAGTCAGGCTATAGATTTTTTCAGGGAAGATTTGTCAAATCCTGATATTATTGATGAAAAACTTCATGGATGGAAGACAAGATGGTTTTTGATACCTCTCCAGCGTGCTTCAGTGTACCAAATATCTTTATGAAACTCATTGCCACTAAGTTCATATTCATGTGGATGTTCGGCATCGGTTTCACGCCGGTTGAATAATTACTTGAGGTGTACACAAGCAGAAGAAAAACTGAGTGCTCTAGCTTTAATACATAATTATTATAACACTACTATCAATATTGAAACTGTATGTAAGTTATTTATAGAAAAGAACCGCAGAAGAATGGAACATACTAATATGTTATTTCAGTAGTGCATACATGTACGTATATCATAGCCAATGATTGAAATAGCTAATATATTATTGTTGTATAAGGGTTGTTTATATTAGTAATATTATTTAACAATTAATAACTACTCTGCATGTAGATGGTACAGTACTTTACTATAATAAAATATACATATTTATGCTAATCTAAGTCTAGCTCCCCATGCAGTGTTACAACAGAATGATGATGATTTGTTTACTTTTCACTGGATGTTTGTGGATTTTATGTAAACAGTCATGTAATTGTTTAAGCCATATTTCACGCAATGTTGCTTCGAGATTTAATCTCATAGCATCTATGTGCATGTTGATTGTGCTTCGCGAAATATGTGTTGGCTTTTGATCTCACAAATTAGAACCCACCTTTTCAAACATTCTATGTACGACCTGAAAATCATAAGAAAACCATATTGATTAAAATTGAAGTCTGTTTTTTAGAACTACTAATTCAAATTATGCATAAAATCTGAATGCAATTACAGTTTCTAAAACAACCCGGGAGGTGGAGCTCCAGTGGAAAAATGACAATGCTGTTGATATGTACAAAGGGTTAAAACAAGCCCAGTTTGAGCTACAGGAAATTCGATTAACTCGTTGTAAGGAATCTTTTCAAATCGGTAAGTCTTATGTGTCTTAATGTGACAAAATCGTGAAGTCTCCCAAACCAAGCAAGCATACTAATAAACATCTTTAATCTATGGTGTGAACGCCTTTTTGCTTGCGAAGTTTGCTTATAATCATTTATGTTTGTCATACATAGCTCTATAATAAAATTCAATGTGTGGGTGTGCGCATCTGCGTGTCACATAACTTCTACTAAGCCGCTGGTTGCACCGACTTTTAAGTGGTACCAAACGAATCGTCTCGGCCCAATGAGTTGTACAAAGGTAAAACTTTTCACCAAACTCTTTAGGGAATCCCCCGAAAGCGGACCCTCAAACTTGGCATTGATTTACATTGGAGACAGTAAATAAGTAGGCCTACTAATTACCGTTCATAACTTGGTTAAAGAAATTAAAATTTGCATAACAGCGGCAATGATCACTAAACTGAAAAAATTTAAAATAGTAGTTCAAACATTAAATTTGTATTATAGCGGACCTGTAAATGTGGGCCATGGGCCTTTGGATTAACAAGTAACCGTGATAAAGGCTAAATAGTTCTAGTAGAATGTTCAAACTTTTGCTGTCCAATAGAATATAGTGTTTAAAAATATAATAATCCTAATACTATTGTCTTATAAGAAATGTGATTGTTTACTCTATGTTTAAAAATGATTTCTGAGGATTTATTTAAAGAGAAAATTTCTGTTAGTAGTTTCACAAGGACACAAAAGCTAAACAAAACACGTGGCTCTAATATAAGTATCGTTGAGTATTAAATTTTAATAAACAGTGTAAGATCACATTCAAAATACACGCAATTGTAAAACACAGAATTACGTTATGTTTGTCACATATAGAAAATCAGAATAGTGTTTATCAATACAAGTTTTCTATCGCGTCTTGGTTTCATAGAGAAAAGCACCATTACTTTAGGATGACCGTAGTTTTCTTTCCCGTCCTGGTTTCATAGAGAAAAGCACCATTACTTTAGGATGACCCTAGCTTTCAATCACGCCCTTGATCTATAGAGAAAAGCACCATTACTTTAGGATGACCCTAGTCTTTCTTTCGCGTCCTGGTTTCATAGAGAAAAGCACCATTACTTTAGGATGACCGTAGTTTTCTGTCGCGTCCTGGTTTCACAGAGAAAAGCACCATTACTTTAGGATGACCGTAGTTTTCTGTCGCGTCCTGGTTTCACAGAGAAAAGCACCATTATTTTAGGATGACCCTAGCTTTCAATCACGCCCGGGATCTATAGAGAAAAGCACCATTGCTTTATATAGTGAAAAGGTTTAGGCGATTCTTCTAATATTGGAAAGTCTATGGAGGGTTTTAGTGGATAATAACTGATTTCGTGGAAACGTAAGAAGATAACGTAAATTGTCTGTCACTTTTCCACTCGATTGTCATTACATAATTTTATTTATTGTTGAAACATTCCTACGTGGAACTCCAAACCGAATTCAACAGAAATTCATCCACAGGAATTGTACGTTAGAGGATTTTGCATGATAGTCAGTAACTATAGCAATATACACAGGGCTCATCAAAATATCACCAAGAGAAGCTTTATAGATCTAAGAAAATTCAACGTTTTGTATTAATTATGGCACTAAGATGCTTTCAATCTTAGGAGATATTGAATTTACTTAAAATACAGAATAACCTATCCTGATTTACATAGAGGCAATCGTAAATGGTTTTACTTATCAATATGGATGTTTCATCCTATTACTTTTATCAGAACTGCACTGGTTATAAATTATATTGTAATTGGCCTCCATGAAATTAACATTATTACATTATACTGTTGAGAACAAAAAACAAGCTTCTATAAGCTAGTGCAGTTCAGGATTTGAGACTAATATTGTAACATCTACAGTTCGTTGTTAAGTAGAAAATATAAGTCAACTTGAAACCTGAAGCAATCAAAATGATGGTACAATATGGCCGTGTCTGGATTGGCCTTCCGTTTTATGAAAAAAAAGAACGATGATTACTCAAGTTTTATTTCTTTTCTAAATTATTTAGTTTTTAACAATATTTACTTGTTTTTGAAAATTCCAAGGGTGGTTTTGACGGTTATGAATGTTGTTGTTACTTTGCTCCTGCTCACTATTAGGAATTGCAGGAATTCTGATCACTTAGTTTGCTCGTCATTAAATGTCAAGCAGGATCAAACGGAACGTGATTAAGACCAAATTTACAGATGGTCCCCTACTTCCCTACAAAGTGTGAATTTAGCTCAAATTAGCAAGGCGCTTCAGTGAATCTCTGAATTTCCTTGTACATCTGTCTAATGTATTACAAATATCCTCCATGGTTTTACTTCCTTCCTTCACAAATAATAACTTCCGATAATAATAACCTATCCACACAGAGTGAAACTCAAAATCAAACTTTAACTAGTCATGAAATTTAATGAGAAGCATCACTAATTATTACTTAAGTGATGTTGCTGAGTAGAAAGGTTAACAATACATGAAAATTTGGAACATTCAACATAGCATAAATAATATGCAGAGTAAGGTGACAATACAGTTTCTATTAGAAAACCAATCTTTTTAGGTGTGAAGGAACCACTGTAGACGACCTTTTTCACTAATGAGAAATAACACCAGGTATAAAAATAATTATTCTAGTACTATGTAAAAATATCGCTCTCTAATAGAAAATTAACATTGATACAAGTTCTTCATTTGTTGGTGTTTACATAGATTAGTAGTCTATGTAACAAAGCCTGGGGGGGTTACTGTAGCAAGACTATGAGGTAAACTTTAAGTGTTACTGTAGCAAGACTATGTAGTAAAGTCTCTGTAAGAAAACTTGAGTGTTACACTAAGAAGTTTATGGAATGAAGCATGAGTGATACAGTAACAAATGTATGTGGTGAAGCCTAAATCTGAGAGTAGCAAGTAGTTGTGATAAAGCCATAAAGAAGAATCTCGAGCCAAGTGTATTATTAATTATTGTGAAATGTATAGTTTACATTTAACTCACACTTGCCATGTTTGTTTTAGAAGTGGTTAATGAAAACAGTGTCTGTCTCTCTTGAGTATAGCGTGACTTCTGTACATGAACAACATTAGTTTACTTTATTCTCCATAAGTTATAACAACGATCACTCAAGTTTAGTTTGTTAGGCCGTTTTAATACAGTTCTATATGGCATGAACTGTAAATAGATGCCATTGATAGACACCAAAGAGCTAATAACTTTGTCCTCTGTTACGCCTGCCTTAGGAGTGAAAAGAAAACTGAAACCATCCATGCAATACAGACTAGTGTCGTTTCATTAAAGTATTAGAAATGTTGAATTTGTTTAATCCTTTGATGCGCCAATCAGTCAAGTAATCCTTTCTCACTGTAGTCGAGTCAATCGGAAATAATTATGTTGCTTTGAAAGCTCTGTCTTCTGAACCCCGCGTTTCGAGGCTAATACATTACACAACACAATACAGTGAACCAATGGTGAGACATGAGCCATAGCCATTGGTTTTAAGTATGATTTTCCACGTGATGTAGATGTCTGAAATTAAAATAATAAATAACCTTGCATTTTAACGGCCCATTTTAATTGATGAATGATCTAGTATTGTTTTTGTTTTGAAAGTCACATATTCCAACCAAGCTTTCACTGAACATTTCTTGTACTCTCGGTGATCAACTGTTTAATCCATCATCCACTATCGTAATACATCATCTCTGGACAAAACTCACACTCTTGATGAACAATTATTGTAATATATCATCCATTATCGTAATACATCATTCACTCTCAGTGAACAGTTATCGTAATATTCCTTGTAAAACTCACATTCACGATAAACAACTATCGTAATGAATCATCCACTCTCGGTGAACAACTATCATAATACATCAACTCTGAGCAGATCTCATACTTTCAACGAACAGCTATCTCAATAAATAATCCCTAGATGAATGTGTAAACTCAATTTAATTTCATTAGTGAAAACAACTACCAGTTTTTAAGGTATTATCATTGTATTGCAAGTATTTTTGGCAGATTTGTTTTATCTATTTAGAAATACTAGATTCATAAACTATTGAGTGTGTTATGCTGAAACGATTTGTAATGTGCAAATCACCAAGTCACCTGACAGCTACAGTCAATATAAAGTCGAGGTGGATTGGTATATACCAGGAATACATTTTGACATTTGTTTGGAATTTTGTAGATAGTGTGATGCTAAAGAAAACTGATGGCGTTTTAAAAGGGTATATAACAGCCCTTTTCGAAGGCAAAATATTCATACACTCAGATCATGAAGATATGTCCAGATAACGCAATTAAAACTTTCCTGGTACTTAATAACGTTGAAAAACAAAGGAATATGCGTCAACTTGAAGCACAAGGGCCACCCAGTAAGTAACCAGCAACAAGTCGTACACTAACTGGGGTAATCAAAGTCCTGCATCCTTTCGTGAGAATCGGCAAACACAAGGGCAAGGGTCAGGCAGCAAAAACTATCCACATACTCCAGTTAACAGTACACGACCTAATGAAGAAGGATGTTCGTCTGAATACGAGGCCAGAATTGTATGGGTTCACCAAGATATGGCTTCTATTCATGCCTCCAGTTCAATGCTCGCACACGTCAGACAGCTGGAGAATTAAACGGTTATTCATGTTATTCCATACAAAGACATATTGGTGTAGCACTTATGGATTTCTGTGCGATCGAACTATTGAAACGGGTGGTCAGAAACCACTGTCCTTATACACTAGAGGATTTTGAAAGTCTGCAGGGAGAAGTTGTCTGCTTTGAGTATCACAACCTTACATTGGAGCCTTTCCCAATGGAAACTATCATGTAAGGCTACTTATTAGCAACATGCATGGTCGTCAGATAAAATATGACCGGACATGGCAACATAACTTTAATGATGTTGTGGAGCTTTATAATCGTTTCAATATAGTGTACTCAAACACCTGTATTTCAATAGCTACGCATAAAGTGTAGATTAGTTTCGAAAATCATATATAAA